ATGCTTTTATATATATATATTCATATAAAAAGTAAATAAGATCCCAGCTCTTGCGTGATTATTGGGCAATCCAAAAAGCAGCAAAGCAAGCAACACTGGAGCAAAGGATACATCAGGCCAAACAGTGCAAAGCCCCAGAGTTAGAGGTGCGGGGGTGGGGGACGGACAAGCACTCCTCCAAAGGGACATGGAGCACTTAGCCAGACACCCATTCTTGGTTTGTTACACCTCCCTGCCCAAGCCCTGGCTATGGAACTGGAATCCCACACCCGCTGGCGAGAAGGATCACCCCAGTTGGCTACACTACCTTCTCCTCCCCCCCCATACCACATCCACAGATGCCACTGTTGATGTGGTGTGGAGGGTGGGAGTGCGGGGGAATGACTCCCTGCTCCCCAACCCAACCTGTGCTTTAGCTTGGATATCCACAGGGAGTTCCCACTCTCCATCCGTAGTGCTGTCAGGTCCATGAAGGAAGTTAGACTGACTGTTTGGAATATTGCAAAGTGCCTGAAACTTTCCTTAACAGCAGAGGCGAGGAAGGGGATTTAACTCCCCAGGAAGACTCAGCTCAGACAGTACCCATTTGGTAAAGGAGGTAAGGTACCTTACCTCCATCCCAGCTGGGGTGGGAGGAGAGGTGTGACTGAAGTACAGGAGATGCGGAGACACTCCCCCACCCCCTGAAAATACACAGCAGTGGCTCACCTAAGATTAGAAGGCAGAACTCCCCACTGGGCCTACATACATCCTCCCATCCCTGCAAAGGCTTTGTATCCTCGTCAGCTCCATGCCCATATGCTAGCTTCATTCAGTAAGACCAGAACAGCGTGCTGGGCAAAGGCGGGAGATTAGTATATATGCTCAGTTCAGGACTGAAGCTGTAGGTCAGGACAGAGGAGCACTGTCAGAGCTCAGGGGTGAAGAGTGGAGAAAATGAGTTCCCAAGAACAGCCCAGGGAAGAGGAGATAGAGTTTTGTTTTGTTTTTTTACCCAAAATGCACAGAGGAGACCCTGACAAGACAGACATCTTAGAGTCCCATATCTAGTAACTTATTACATTCAGACGCCAACGTCCGGTTCCCATCCTCTTTCCTACAATCACCCCAACACAGCAGATGAACAATATGCAGCAAAGAGACAGTACAGCTTTGGCTGGGAAAGCTCCCTCCACCACTATGGGACATTCACACCCCCCCCCCAGTCCCGAAGAATACAATCCTGCTCTAGTAAAAACTCATCGATGCCACCCTGGCTCTTACCCCAACATGCACTCGATACACCCCAGCCTTCCCAAGGAGAGGGTGCTCCCCACTTGTCCGAAACTTCAGGTACACGTGGGGGTTTCTGCCTTCCCCTGAAGATCTGGTAGTGGCCATTGCCAGAGGTGGGACACCAAACTAGACTGGGCTACATCGGGTTCTGCTGTGGCAAATTCTGTATTTAAAATGCCATTTCCACTAAGCATTGAAATCAGTGAGCTGATAATAAGACAAGGAAGGGAGCTCTGCCTTGTTCTAAGTGAGCATTTATTCTGCTCTTGGGGTGGTTATCTGGCAAGAAAGGTGCAAGCCAATCTGAGATCTCAGCAGCTCCACTCACATGCCATTTCCATTTTACCAGCCTGGCCCAGACCGCATCAGGTCAGGATTTACCATTCTGCAACAACTTTGGCACCACTGTACCTGGGAAGGGGAGAAAAATACAGAGCCTCCATCTAATTTCTGGAAAGGGGGTGGGGAAGGGGAATGGTAATGCTGTTGGATGGAACTCACTCCAACACTTGGGCAGGTGGGGAAGAGAAGGGTAAATTATATGGGTTTTCTCCAAAACAGGACTTGCCTCTTCAAATCAGAAATTGCTGGTTACCCCAAGGACACCCTCCTCCAGTTCAAGTGAGCCAAATACCATCCCAGACACACACTTCAACACTACAAAATACTCTCTTCTCTAAGAACCATCTAATACCACTACAGTTTGTGCAATCACTGCATTTATTATTCATTTTTAAACTCTCTCCCCCACTATAGAAATTTCATTTTTTAAAAACTTTTCTTTTTTCTTTTCTTTTCTTTCTTTTTTTTTTTTTTTTGCAAAACTATTCATTTCACTTTTTCCACTTTCCATCATAAAATCTCCTCTAAAAACACAACAACAAGAGAATAAACATGGCACAGACACAGACTGTTTCCCTGGTTTGGGGGGAATGCTTTTGAATACTCCCCCCAACCCTATGCCCTCTCTAAAAGCATGGATGGGACCTCCCTTTTATCTTCCTGTAGGGAGGGAGGAAAAAATAAATCGGAGATGGAAGGTGAGCGTAACCCACATTCATACCAGTGTGGAGTTTTGTCAGCCTCTAGTGGCTGGACCACACAAAGATTTATGAGACTACTACTGCCTGGTCTTTAAGCTCAAGCAATAGAGACTCATGCTTTTAGATCCAGAGGTTCAGGGTTCAATCCCCACAGGTGACCCACCCAGGAGGGTGGTGACACAAGCAGTCAAGCTACTTGCCCTGACTGGATTGCACTTCCTTCCTACAGAGAGATGATCTAGGATACGAGTTCCTCCAAAGCCCAGTGCTCCTCTCCCCTCTTTATAATTCCAGGAAGAAGGGTCACCAAGCCCCCATGCAATCCTCCTGCCAATGCTCCAGAGGAAGGCAAAAACCCCTCATTATGAAAAAAATCCAGGAACACCAAACAGACATCAGGAGGGGGGGGGGGAAAAAAACCTCTGCCAAGTGAACATTTCTTGGCTAAAACATGTCAAGAGTTTCCTATTAAAGTTCCCTTTTTTCTTCCACTTAAACTTTTCAAATATTTCTGAACTTTATTACCACGAAACAAGAACGCCATAACATACACGCCAAGAGTAACCAAGCAACCTAAAAAAAAAAAAAAAAAAAAAGTGACTGGCTGGCATGCATCTACTCTGTAAAATAGTTCCTCTTATCTTGCAGCCTCATAAATTAATTCCTCTTTAAAATCATCTCTCTTTAACACAAGTCTCCTTGTTATTCTCCCAATATAGATCTCCCACATTTCCCCAGCCTGCTTGTTTCTGAAGCTGCAGCCATTAGAATAAGTTATCATGAAATAAGAGAACCCTGCATGCGCAAGGTGAAGGAAAGATGCAAAACAAAGCAAAGACAACAGGCAGGTATTAATTCACATACACACGTACATATCCAACAAATTACAGGAAGCCTTGGACTGATGAATGAATGGGGAAGTCTCCCCCACCCTGTAACTGGTTTTGAAATATTCTGCTGGGATTTTAAAAGTTTTGTTTAAAAAACCCACAAAAGATGGGCAGGTTGGGGGGGGGGGTGTTGTGGTTGTGTGGGAATAAAACTAACCACATGCGGGATCATCTCTCAGATTGGCTACACACAAATTGGAACTAAACTCGTTTGAATTCACACCTTTTTAAAATTTTGATGCAAGTCTCTGTGTGGACATTTATTTTGCAGTAGGTGAGTTTTAAGGCTGGTCTACACCTAAAAATTAGATCGAACTAGACACATTGTTTAGGGCTGTGAAAAATGTTGTGCCCTGTGCGATGTAGTTAGGTCAACCTAACCCCCACTGTAGGCGCAGCCAGGTCAGTGAAATTCTTCTGTCAACCAAGCACCGCTTCTTGAAGCGGTGGTTTTACACAGACAGAAAAACACCTTCTGTCACTGTAGCAAGTGTCTATGCTACAGTGACATAGCAGCAGCTGTAATGCTTGTAGTGTAGACATACCCTTCAAATCCAGGGTGTCTGCAGGCAAAACCACAAAAGGGGTGAATTCCACCCAATTTAGTTATTTTGGTGGCAGTGTGTATGTGAGAAGAGTCCTTAGAGCTGAGTTCCTCTCTCCCCCCCCAGTACACACACACCTGTAGGCATATTTATTAATTATGGATCCCACAACAGGCAACATCCCCCTCCCCCCCATTTTTCCCCATGGTCATGGAATCAAGGTAGACACTCACTGCAACACTAATTTAGACTGAATTTATCAGCCTCTCTTCCCCACACCCCAGTGTTTCACAGATTCAGCAACAGAGGAGTGGGGAAGTGAGGGAGGGGTATCTAGCCACAAAGCTCAGCACTGACATAGAATTAAACAAGCCATGGAATGGCAAAGAAGAGCGCTTTTGCACCTTGGACATTAAGAGCATGTCTCAGGGAAGTGGAGAAAGCCACATCATTGCCTGCTTCCAATTACAGAGGGTGGTGGCGATTCCAGATCCAATTTTACACTGAACATGTAAAACCAAGGAGTTGGGGGTGGGGTGGGGGACAGGGGAAGGAGAGGCAGGCAGGCAGGCAGGCAGACGCACACACACACACACACACAAAATGTAAGACACGGTAATTCTTACAACAGGTTCTTAGCACCTTTGGTTGACAATTGTAGAGGCAATTTCAGATCCTGGAAATGGTTGTGGTGAACTCTCTCCAACCCACCCACCAGAAAGAGATGAAACTGAGCAGGAAGAGTAGCAGATCTTCCTTCGCACACACAAGGCCTGTGAAGTGATTCAGTGGAGCCAAGGAGGCTTATATTTTCCCTGGAAGGTAAGACTTGCTGACCTCATCCGGCTGGGGTAATGTCATGCCAAGCCATTGCTCCTCCTGAATTGATGGACGGACGTGTGGCTTTCCCACTTCCATTAGAAAAGGCTTAGGAAGGGTACGGCATGCCTCAGACCCGAGCAAGTGCAAATGACGAACACGAGGAGGAAGATCCAGGCTGGAAGTGACAGGCCCAACAAAGCTGAGCAGACTGGAAGATCTGGAAGGGAAGGAGCAGAAGGGAGGAGGAAGGGCCCAGGTGGTCTCAAAGTGCCCATACAACTGCCAAGTTAGCACCACTAGTAAAAGCAAGAAGGAAGTGAGCCGGGGGCATGTGTTGTAGGGGTACAACCCCCCCACTCGGGCTCTGTTGCAATCTCGTTCTAGCCCTGATGCTTTACCTTCTGTTCCACCCCCCCACCCCCACCCCGACAGTGTCCCTCTCCCAGAGATACAGCCAGAGCTACTGAAGCTGGATCATAAGAGACAGCCATCCCATGCCACAGAGAAAGGAGAGGGTCAGAGCTGCCCTGGGAGAAGGCAGGGTGAAGAACTGGAGAAGTGGAAGAGTGTGTACACAGTGCAGGGCAGAGGGGGAGGGTGGGGGGAGCACAGCCCCTTTCAAATGCCTTATCCATCTCTCCAGTAGCAGGAGCTCCCCCATATCTTCAGAAAAGATGGGGGGGATCCTTCCCCACCCAGCCCCAACATACACACACCCTGTTGTCGCCCAGGCTCCATACCAGTTTGACAACATGTTCTTTGAAGACAAATGATCATTCCCCAGCCCAACCCCTTGCAGCTGTGACATCTGGGAACTTCAGACACCTCTGCCCTCCAACTCCCACCCCAGTCTCCGAGCAGAAAGAAAAAGAACCGGGGAAGGGGAGGGGGAGAGTAGGAGAAAACTAACAACAGCCATTCACACCATGACTTCTTCCAGCAGAGCCTCCCCTACCCCCCCAAAGCAGGGAGCCAACTTCTCACTTGCTGCCTCCTCCACCCGCTGCCACCTTCTCAAAATCCTCTGCGTTGCAGAACTCCTTGATGGTGACGGTCAGGAGATTGCTGGTGACATCTGTGACCACCACGTTGGAGCAGGGGGACATCTCGGGGCGCCAGTCGCCAGCCTCCTGCTCCGGGTCAGAAGAGGAGAGGGACGATGAGGGTGTCTGGCCCCCAGCACATCCCCCAGGGGGAGAGCGCTTGCTGGTGGCCGCTGATTCTGGTGGGATCGACAGGTCCAGGACCTCCGACTCGCGCCAGTCAGGGATGGCGGGGCTCAGGGTCTCGGGAAGCAGCTTTGGGGGAGAATCGTCTGGGTCGGAGGAGGAGTGAGGGGTAGGAGAGGGGCAGCCTGAGGAGCTGGAGCTGCGGGCATCGTAAGGGGTGGAGCCCATGATCAGCGCACAGGAGGCACCCTGTGAGCCCCCTGCCTCCATCTTGCCCTCCAGAGACGTGGCCGGTGCAGCAGATGGCTTGTTGTACAGTGAGAAGGTGCCGAACTTCATGTGGCGGATCTGGGTGCGGAGGATGCTCTCGCTGAACTTCTTACTCTTGCCAATGACACGGTTTCGTGAGGGGATCTTTGGCCGGGCCAGGCCCCCTCCTCCACTTGCAGCCTTTCCACCCTTGTCAATGACCTTGAGGTTGAGGATGATGCGGCTGCGTTTGGGCTCACGAGGCTTCACCTTGCGGTTGATGATGCGGACGGTCTCGGAGAAGGGCGAGACTGGAGGACGTATGCCAGCCCCCCCACCCACACCCCCGCTGTTCTGGGGGTCTGGGCGGGGCAAGGGGCGCCGGGACATCCGATGGCATCGCCGGATGTCTTTCTTGAGCCGGTGCACTGCGGCGCTGGAGTGCAGCTTGGGTGAGGAGGTGCTAGAGCCAGGCTTGACAGAGAAGTGTACATCCCCAATGTGAAGGGCCTCCGCCTGGGCCCGAGCCTGCGGTGGGGGGGGAGAGAGAAGAATGGAGTCAGAGATGACCTGAGATATGCCAGGCCTTGAATCGGGGGCACCTCAGCTTGGGGTGACAAGACCACATTAGAGGCACCCTGTCAGGAGCCAGAGAGCTACACCTCGTTTGTATACAAAATAATATTTAAATGAAGAAACAAATGCACAGGACCCTAGTACTAAGGTAACCCAGTGGTGAATGGCTGCCAGAAGCCCTCTCAGTGCCTGTTACAGCCCCTAGATATGGAGCCTTGGCTCTTTAGTTCAAGCTGTAGCAGCTCCTGCTTTAGCTCCAGAATCCCCCGTTCAATCCCTAATGCATCAGCCAAGATGGCAGCTCTGACACTTGCATCATCTTTGACAGATGAGAGAAACAACCTGCTGGTGTGTGTTCAGCAGCAATGAAAACAACCAACCAAGGAACTCAGAGCCACAGGAAAGGAACAGCAGACGTTGTCTGCAGACTGTTACTATCAATCACCATGAATGGCTCCTTCACAAACAAGGGAAGTTAGAGAAGGGCAGCCAGTCAGATTCTAGGACTTACCAAGGACTGCACTTTGAGGGAGTCTGAGACTAGGTCTACACTATGGACTTATGTCGGCAGAACTGCGTCGCTCAGGGGTGTGGAAAATCCTCACCCGAGTGACGCAGTTATACCGACCTTACCCCCTGTATAGACAGTGCTATATCTATGGGAGGGCTTCTCCTGTAGACAAAGCCACCATCTCTCAAGGAGGTGGAGTACCTACACTGACAGGAGAAGCGTTTCTGTCATCATAAGTAGCATCCTCACTAAGCGCTACAGCAGAACTGCATGTACAAGCATTTCCTTGACCTCCCCCTTCTTACATGCTCCCCTGAAAGAGGAGCACAAAGGAAAGTGCCCAGGGAGCCTGGTGCCAGAGATTCTAAAGCTATGCTCAATTGTAACTATACCCTGTCACCAGGAGAAGGTGCCAATCGTCCTAATAAGCATATGGTGGTTGCTGGTGGGGCTGAGCACCAAGAAGTTTATTTGGGGTGAGTAAGAACCCGAAAGCATGCTAGGCACTGTCTGAATGTAGGGAGCAGGGACTGTGTCCATAAGCTCACAATCATAGAATATCAGGGTTGGAAGGGACCTCAGGAAGTCATCTAGTCCAACCCCCTGCTCAAAGTAGGACCAATTCCCAACTAAATCATCCCAGCCAGGGCTTTGTCAAGCCTGACCTTAAAAACCTCTAAGGAAGGAGATTCCACCACCTCCCTAGGTAACCCATTCCAGTGCTTCACCACCCTCATAGTGAAAAAGTTTTTCCTAATATCCAACCTAAACCTCCCCCACTGCAACTTGAGACAATTACTCCTTGTTCTGTCATCAGGTACCACTGAGAACAGTCTAGATCCATCCTCTTTGGAACCCCCTTTCAGGTAGTTGAAATCAGCTATCAAATCCCCCCTCATTCTTCTCTTCTGCAGATTAAACAATCCCAGTTCCCTCAGCCTCTCTTCATAAGTCATGTGCTCCAGCCCCCTAAATAAATTAATGGAGATATCCTATCTCCTAGAACTGGAAGGGACCTTGAAAGATCATCGAGTCCAGCCCCCTGCCTTCACTAGGCAGGACCAAGTACTGATTTTGCCCCAGAGCCCTAAGTGGCCCCCTCAAGGATTGAACTCACAACCCTGGGTTTAGCAGGCCAATGCTCAAACCACTGAGCTATCCCTCCCAATCTAGAAGACAAACAAGATGAAAGATAGGGGAGAGGAATAAAGCAAGCAAGCAAAGTCCCCTCCAGACTATTAGTTGGTTAACTTCTTGTAGGTGTCATGGGAGAAATGGATCTTTAGGAAGGTTGATGGAGAAGGTAATGGTCTGATGGATACTGTGAGAGGAAAGTCTCAGATTCAAGGTTCAAAAAGATATTGGACATAGAATTATAGGAGTGGAAGGGACCACGAGAGGTCTTGTAGTCTATTCCCCTGTACTCAAGGCAGGACTAAGTATAGACCATCTCTGACAGTTGTTTGTCTAACCTGCTCTGTCACTGGAGATTTTTAAGAGATTCCACAACCTCCCTAAGCAATTTACTCCAGTGCTTAACCGCCCTGACAGTCAGGAAGTTTTTCCTAATGTCTAACCAACCTCACTTGCTGCAATTTAAGCTAATTGCTTCTTGTCCTATCCTCAGAGGTTAATGAGAACAATTTACCTCCCTTCTCCTTGTAACAACCTTTTATGTACTTGAAAACTAATGTCCCCCCTCAGTTTTCTCCAAACTAAACAAACCCATTTTTTTTTAATCTTCCCTCATAGGTCATGCTTTCTAGACCTTTATTCATTTTTATTGCTCTTCTCTGGACTTTCTCCAATTTGTCCACATCTTTCCTGAAACGTGGCCCCCAGAACTGCACATAGTACTCCAGTTAAGGCCTATTGAGAGCACAGCAGAGCGGAAGAATTACTTCTCGTGTCTTGCTTGCAACACTCCTGGTAATACAACCCAGAATGTTTGCTTTTTTTTGCAACAGTGTTTCACTGTTGACTCATATTTAGCTTGTGATCCACTATGCCCCCAGATCCCTTTCCGCAGTACTTCTTCCTAGGCAGTCATTTCCCATTTTGTATGCGTGCAACTGATTGTTCCTTCCTAAGTGGAGTACTTTGCATTTGTCCTTATTGAATTTCATCCTATTTACTTCAGACCATTTCTCCAGTTTGTCCAGATCATTTTGAATTTTAATCCTATTCTCCAAAGCACTTACAACCCCTCCCAGCTTGGTATCGTCTGCAAACTTTATAAGTGTACTCTCTATGCCATTATCTAAATCATTGATGAAGATATTGAACAGAACCGGACCCAGGACCAATCCCTGCAGGACCCCACTTGATATGCCCTTCCAGCTTGACTGTGAACCACTGATAACTACTCTCTGGGAACGGTTGTCCAATCAGTTATGCACCCCCTTATAGCAGCTCTATCTAGGTTGTATTTCCCTCATTTGTTTATGAGAAGGTCATGTGAGACAGTATCGAAAGCCTTATTAAAATCAAGATATACCACATCTACCACTTCCCCGCTATCCACAAGGCTCATTACCCTATCAAAGAAAGCTATTAGGTTTGTTCTTGATAAATCCACGCTGACTGTTACTTATCACCGTATTATCATCTAGGTATATGCGAACTGATTGCTTAATTATCTTTCCAGGTACTGAAGTTAAGCTGACTGGTCTGTACTCCCCTGGGTTGTCTGTATGGAGATCAAGAATATCTGGAGTTATCATAATTAATGACAATGCAAATTTTGGAAGGGATGTTAAACCTCATGTTTTAGGATTTTAGCCTAGTGTGTGTGTCAGGGCGGGGGGAGAGGGAGGGGAAAGAGGAGATTATCTCACACATGCCTGCTGCGGGGTCCCTACTCCTTCCTCTGAAACATCTGGTGCTGGTCACTGTCATAGACAGGATACTGGGCTAGAGGGACCTAGGGCAAGGGTAAGGGATAGCTCAGTGGTTTGAGCATTGGCCTGCTAAACCCAGGGTTGTGAGCTCAATCCTTGAGGGGGCCACTTAGGGATCTGGGGCAAAAATCAGTACTTGGTCCTGCTAGTGAAGGCAGGGGGCTGGACTTGATGACCCTTCGGGGTCCCTTCCAGTTCTCTGAGATGTATATCTCCATAATTTAATTTATTTAATCAATACGCGGACCACGGGCCAAATCCAGACCATCAGATGCTTTTGAACAGACTGCAAAAATCTTTTTATTTACTTATCATCATCTTACTGTGGTGTGAAAAATGTTTCTCTGGAGTCTGGACCTTGACTATACCTTGACAAAAAAATAATTAACTACCCCTGACCTAGGGTCTATTGTAGTTCCCGATGCAATTCTTATGTTCCTATTCCACCCCTAGGTTCCGATGCAATTCCTGTGTTCTTATTCTCCCTCTAAAAACCAGATTTGTCCTGCCCCTTCAGATGAGATATTTGTTTAACGTGACAGATTAAATAGTGAAAGTGTAGAAGCAGCACCTGCTTTTCTCAGAGGAAAAAAAAAAAAAAAAAAGAGCTGTTCTCCCCCCTCCTCCCCGATAAATGCATCAGGAGTCATATCTGCTAACGTTTGGGAAAAACGTTTTTAGTTCTTCTTAGTCCTGTACAGCCACGATGTCACTGGGAGAGTGAGCTGGAATTTACTCTGGCTCGTGCATCAGCAACAGGATTTTCTGCAGGGAGCTAATTACATTTTCATTTGTAAATTGAGATAGTCTGATCTGAAGACAACAAACACGGAACCCTACAGGGTAATTTTACACTTGATTTTCAGAGCAGAGTCACGCTTTAAATGGCGCCTTGCAAGGATAAGATGCCCGTACCCCTCTGAAACAGACTCTCCCTCATCCCAAATAGAGTCACTCTATAATTCCCTTGCCCCCAAAACCCAGCCATGGCCAGAAGTAACCAGACCTTTTGGCCCCACACCCGTTATTGCCTTCCAACTTAGAATCCATGATTCTTGTACCATCTAGTGACCACAGTGAGAACTGCAGTCCCCAGGACACAACATCCACTGTCTCACCTCGTCCTCCTGACACACACAAACACACACACAGAGCTCAGGACAGGTTCTGGGGAGCTAAGGTTTTAAGCTGCACTATTATCTCCTCTGCCATCACGCAGCTTGTACTGGACCTATAGCTCTCATCATGAGAATGGGGAGAACACGCTCAGAAACTTAGCAGCAGCACTTTAAAAGTCATCGAAGTGAGAAACCAAGACAGGGCTTATGAACCCACCCCAACTCCTTATATCTGATCCCAAAAGATTCCACTCCTGCTGACTTCCCCCACTCTGCCCACTTCAATCCCAAGTTATGACAACAACACAAGCTGCAGGAAGCCCCAAACCTCTCAAGCAGCCCTGCCATACAATAGGAGAAGTTGGGAATGGAGATTTGAGGGCACGTAGCTCATCTCTGGCTAATACAGGGCTGTTCCCTACA